AACACAGGGTATAATTACATGTATCCCTAAAGGTGATAAGCCTAAACAATTTTTATAAAATTGGCGACCGATAACATTCCTAAATACAATTTATAAAATTGGTTCTGGATGCATAGGAAATAGAATAAAAATATATTTAGACAAACGTATTAACACTGACCAAACATGATTTATAAAGGGACGATTTATAGCAGAAAATGTTAGACTAATTTATGATATAATGCAATATACAGAGGAGAATAACATTTCTGGGCTTTTACTCCCCATCGATTTCGAAAAAGGATTTTGATTCTTTGTCTTGGGTTTTTGTCGTCACTTTTTAATTTTTGAGAATACTAAAGATAGTTTAACATTTTTTATAAAGATTGGATTTCTGGAATATGTCAAACTGTTTTTTTAGCATCAGCGTGGGTGCCAGCAGGGTGATCCGTTAAGTTGTTATATTTGTTTATGTGCTGAAATACTTTCGCAGAAAATTAGGTTAAATAACAAAATTAAAGGAATTAAAATGAATAAAGTAGAACATAAGCTATCTCAATTTGCAGATGATACTACAATTATTCTAGATGTTTCGGCCCTTTTCTTCTTTAAATGAAACCCTAGATACATTGTCCACATTTACTATTTTATTTCAGATTTGAAAGTTAAATTTGGCAAAATATAAGTCGGAAAGTGGATTGGTAAAGAAAATAATTAGTGCAAATAGTATAAAAACAAAATGAAAGTTATTTTGGAATCAGCAAATTTTTGACATGCTTGGCTTCAGGTTTCATGTAGATTTGTCAAAACTGCTAAAATTAAACGACAAAACTAAAATTGCAAAAGCAGAACTTAATTTAAAATTGTGGAAGAGAAGACTAATTACACGGATTGGAAGGATAGTTGTCATTAAAATCTTGTACTGTCACTCTTTAATCTTTGTTTGTCTCTTTGCCTAATCCTCCAAAATTTTAAATTCAACAAATAGAAACTTTATTCTTTGATTTTATATGACAAGGTCAATGTAAAGTTTAAAAAGACGTTTTGATAAAAAATAAAAAAAGATAGAGGACTTGACATGATAAATTTAAATGCCTTTATATCTGCATTTAATTTAAAAACTACTGGAATTAGACGAATAATTACGAGCAACTGAAAATGGCTAGATATTGTTTCTTTACTAATAGATATAAATTAATTGTTAAATTGTGACTCTACCATTTCGAAATTCTGTTGAAATTTATTTCGAAAGATACTTTAAATGCTTTTGTTCAATTATGTGAAAAGATGTTCCATGTTCTGATAAATTGTTGGAACATCCATTGTTTTATAACCCACATATATTGATTGGTAAAAAAAACACATTTTTAAAGCCATGGTTTTAAACTGGTGTTCAGTGTATAGTGACTTGTTTAACATAAATTGGGACTTATATGAGACTCATGAATTCAATAAAATTTATAATTTGAGGGCTAATTTTTTGCATTTTCAATAAAGAAAAACAGAATCCCTAAAGAAAGCCCAATACGGCAAAATTGAAAATGTTGCAGGCTCGGTTTGATTGAGCCTGTTCATGGACGGTACTGGAAAGTGCAAGTTACCGTAACACGAACTGGTACAATTTGGAATTTTGAAACATCCGCAGATGTGTTCATATGACGGTTATCATGGTACCTTCAATGTGACACATAAGTGCCATTCCATGAAAAGCGGCATATGGTCCCCAAGTAAAAAAAATGCGTGTGCCCTAAACGAGAAAACAATGGGCGGAACTAAATAAAATGGAATTTTGAAAGGGGATCTGAGGTTATGAAGCCTGCATATCACAGATAAGACATCAAAAGACAATTTGAAAAGCAGGCAACATATCCTAAGGGTGATTATACAGTATTCAAGTAGGAATACTGGAACCACCCAAGTTGAGAAAGGCCAAATAGAAGAAACTAAAAATACCACATAACATGTATACACAACAATTATGTCGTGCTGAACGATCTTCAAGGATCGAAAATATAACATCTTTGATTAAATGTACGGGGAGACTTTTTACGGCCGCCACACGGCACAAATAACACTGATGTGACCATATGTAAGGCATATGAAACGCAGTACACAAATATCTTAAAAGTGCTGGTTACTCTGTAAGTGGTTTGAAAAATATTTCCAGACTTTATATTCCACCAAATGAATACTTTCTCAGATTTTGAAAAAATTAAAAAAAGGTTCACAAAGGTTAAAATCAAATGACTGTTCAGCTGTTTGTAAACTTAAATGGGAAAAAACTTAATACTAAATTTGAAGATAAAGAATGGAACAAAATTTTTCACTTATATTTGACACCAATAAAACACGAATGTACAATTGTTTCAATACAGAATTGTACACAGAATACTTGGCACAAACGAACTTTTATAGAAGATACAATACTCAGATCATCCAAACTGCAGTTTTTGCAACAATAATGCTGAAAGCTTAGAATGCCTCTTTTGGGACTGTGTAGTTGTTTTCGATATGATTCATGGTCTTTTTCAAAATGCTCATTTGCATTTGACAAGTTTACAATTTCTTTTAGGCATTCAAAATGCAGATTATGAAACAAATCTTTTGCTTTTATTTGTAAAAAAAGTACATATATTACTGTAAAATGAATTTAAAAATACCGTCTATAGAGGTTGCTTAGCATTATATTAAGTACCGATACCAAATCGAGAGAGAAACACACAAAAAATTATCAAGATAGATATTTTTGACAAACATTGTGGAAGTTTGAAATATATTTTCATTTCTTCATTTCATGATTAGTGTGTGAGTGTGAGCATTATATTATTGATTATATACTCGTATTAATTACTTTTATAAAAATATGACATGACAAGAAACAGTTTTTATTCATTAAACTACAGGCTACATATATGGAAGAGTCTAGAGAGATTTCACATTAATCATAGGCCTCTTTTTTTACTTTTGTTTGTTTGAATGTAGCATGGTTTTGTTTGTTCGATTAAGATATACGTGTCTTTGAATGTATGTTTGTATGCATGTTCAAAATAAACGGGTTACCTTTTAAGGGCCTCAAAAAACAAAAACAAAACAAAACAACATTATCTTTGGCAAAGAAGTATGATTAACACTGAAGTACTTAACATTTGGAGAAATAACATCCGCAGATGTATTCGTGAGGTGGTAATCATGCTTTATGTTATTATATAAGTTAAATGTCTGTCTATGTTAATGAAATACTCAAAACGCAAAGGTATTTAATTACTAGCAGAAACCTACGAAATTGAATATACGGAAAACGTTTAATTCACTACATTAGATATGCGATGTTTTGAAAGAATAGGCTATATCAATGTGTTCCCCTTGTGCCAACAATAAAGTAACATTTTTAGGGGGAAAAAGACACACAAAACAAACAAAAAAACAACAAAAGAACAGTTTGATCAATCTAGACAAAATACAAGATATACAAAAATCTATGACAAGAAAAAAAGGTTCTATAGTTTCTGCAAGATCTGTGTAGTCTGCGCATGTTTCTCTACATTCAAATCTTTAAGAGCAAAAATATTCTGCAAGCACCCCAGTTCTAGGATTGAAGTGTTCAAACTCATAACTGTGACCGCTGTAGCAAGTTGTTTTTGCCAGGTAAACAGCATTATCGAGGTACCCATTGTTAATATATATTCCATAGGCAGGTCCGTATTTCTTGCCGTTTTCTAGTACTATGTTGAAAGAATCACTACCGGCAAGAATTGATGACACGTGCACATTAATCAAATTTTGACTCTGTCCCCTACGAAGATAAAAGATATAGCTATTGATAGGGACTTCGATTTCATGTCCAGTACAAATCTACTGCAATTCCGTATTTATATTTATTAAGAAAGAATATGGACTAATGTAGAGCCGAGGCAAAAGAGTGATAAAACAAGTGAATGTGTATGTAGTTTATCTGAATTGAATACTATTACATATTCATTGTAATATTTGGAAGTGACGGTGAAAAGTTCCGTTGTCAATGGAGAACAAGGGGTAATTATCAACATTATACGTGTTTTAGTAATGTTTTATGTTCTAATGAATAACCTACCTGATTTGACAACGTTTGTATCTTGTTTCCACAGAAATATTCACCAGTACTTCAAAATCATCACCGTTGGTAAATGTTCCCGGACATCGAACTTGTAAACATGCGAATCTTGAAGATCCGTTCATCGCAGCAGACGAATCTATCGGACCTGCTGTAAAGTTACCAAATGGAACGGTGGTATCGTTAGCAGCTGAACTTACAGCTGTCATAATAGTGTCATAAGGAGCATCCTGAAATGTTTGCCGAGTTCAAAATAATAGTCAAACAAACTCGTAATTATCCTTAATGTTGTATCTCAGTGTAGACACGGTATCACTTTATCTTTTCGTGCAATACAATATTATTCAATGTGTATGGTTTTCAAGCATCTTTTACGCAATCATTAATGGTAAGCTTATAAATTCAACTTGTATAATTTGCTTGAGAGAACAGGGAGTTTAGATATGTTCATATACAGTAAGCATCATTTATTTGAATTAGATTGATGAATAATTTTACAGCAAAGAATCCAGATTCTAAAACAACAATAACTAAGAAAGCTTTGTGTTTCTTTGAGTGTGAGTTTTTCTTAAAGTTTGTATATACATTAAAAGAATATTAAAAGACACAATTACGGTCTGACCTAAACAAAAATGCAACACAAAAATATTGGTATTTGCACAAAACACAAGCGTGTTTCCTATGTACCCATAAAATGATATATCTACTTTTCAATTAATTACTTTACCTGGATGTGAATTTTAACAAAGCAAGCTTCATTGTCACTGTTATATGGGGGGCTGTCGTACCACGAAAGTGGTTTGTATAAATCATCAACCGGTAGTGTTGGGTTTAACTTTGGTAACAAGTTTTCGTACAAAGTGCCACCTAAATAAAATTCACGAAAAAAACAACTATTAAAATATATTAATGGCGCTGGTGTGCTTGTAATTTAGGTGTGCTTGTAATTTACATACTATATTAGATGTCACTTTTGTATTAAGCTCAAGCAACCAAAAAGTTGGTATATATTTCATTTATTAATTTGGTATTTTATTGCAGGGTTAGAAATTTTGTTTTGTTATTTTTGTGTCCAAAAAATTTAGACTTATTTTTATTTTGATCTCGGTTTATTGTTTAATTTTTTAAATTTTGTTTTAACAAGAAATATATAGGCGTTATTCTCACAGGCATGTCGGCATGTTGATTTTACTGAAAGTTAAATCTCTAAAAATAAAATACAGGGACGAAAGAATTGTTCAAGTACACTTTATTAGAATATGATAAACGTGTAGTGCTAAATAGTTCATATTGGTAGAGTTATTTATGATCATTGAAATGCCGTGTAAAGAAACTACAAAAATAATTATGGGACGCGTTAAATGTTAGTTCGTTGTTTTAAATACAGTTAATGACAAGTGATACGTTTATAGAGCGTAATTATAGATAACTTACATACCTTCACAGCAATATCCGTGCACACCTGGTATACAGTAACATTTGCTATTGCTAAAAACTCCATTGTTTAAACAAAATTGGCTACATGCACCTTTTTCTGTTTCAACAGCACCGTTGATCGGGTCTGGGTTGTTTTGATTATAAAATACACAGCTTCTTGATCTGAATCTATCCCCAGCGCTACAAGTATGGTCGCATGAGCTCCAAGGACCCCATGTGCTCCATGTTCTATAATTCCACCAAGCATATACACTATCTGTATATGAACAGTTTATTGCACTTGCAGAGCCTATAATATATATTTAACAAAACTTTTCTTGGTATTTTCAATTATATATGACTTTTAAATTTCACTGTTTTCCGAAAAATTGCTTTCTAAAACTGTTTTTAAGGCAAATTAATACATATACTTTTCTTTGAAAATATGTACCTGCCATACTGTCACGTTTTCGTTAAAGTGTCTTTGATTTGAATGGGATGAACGACTAAGAATGTGTATATACACACATTTACACAAATTTTCAATGAAACATGAGATGCCACAAGAGCTATGACAACAAATATTTAGTGTCCAGCTTTATTTGTCATCCAATGTAAACGCTGTATTTCTTCAAAGCTCCGTGCGTTAATTTTCATAGAAGAACAAAAACCGATACTATATCGAATTTCGTTCATAGTGGACTTCTATTTTTAAAACCGCATAGTGACATAATAAAGTAAATAATAATGAGGCCAAATAAAGCTTGACACTAAGTATGTAAGTATTCATCCTTAGCTGTTCTACAGAAATTAGAAACATTCTCCTGTCGCTATCGCTCCCGTCGAACAGCTCGGATGAACACTAACATATACATATTGGTCAAATTTGCCACATCGTCTTGCTTAGTTCTTTTTAGTATTAGAAATTATGGAAGTTCAAATAACACATTTGAATACCGAGTAAAGAATTTTATTTCCTTAATGCCTCGAAATGTACTCGAATTTTTTGTACATCGAAAGTATATGGTCACTATACATCAAATGCATAATATTTAGGTCTTATAAACAGCACGGTTACTTATAAGCTCCTTCATCGTCTGTGTCTATTCATGCTTCGCGTACTTTGATATGGAAATTTGACTGTGACCCCTAACGGTTATGACATTCGGTGACACGCTTTACCGAAAATATATTTATAACAAATAGCTTATCAGGATGTCAGATACGATTTAATTGATTTAACGAGGCTATGAGGATGCGGGATGTCATATTATCCCGCCGCTGAGTAGCCGTTATAGGAATGCCATGGTATTTTACGTAAATCACATACCACACATACGTGTAGATGCTTTAAGACTATATACTAGTAGTATCACTTTTAATTGTTACATCTAAATTATGTAAAATGTTTGGAATTCTTACCTGCAAATATGCCAATAAGTATACAAACTAAAATAAAATTCATGTTTTGCAGGTTCACTTAATACAAGGGCTGATAATAACACATTGAAACTGTCATAACCAGTTGTTTTATCATAGTTATATAACAACGCAGAATAATATTCCTTTCTTATCAGCAAATAGCCTGGGTACTTACTGGTCATGCCAAAAATTTATTAAACATAGGGACAATATCGTTTTAAAACGTATAAAACACGTATGATTTTTTTAACGTTTACTTGTACATAAAAAGGCACCTTAGGGTTATTTCTAATCCCATTAGATCAAAATTAAAAGATGCAGGTACGATTGGAGTAAGCCTACTCATAGACGTCAAAAGTTAATACAGACTACGTACGTATAAGTCCCGAAACGCTGACGAGAGCAGATTTTAGTAATATATTTGGTTTAATCAAACTTGTAAAACATCTATAGATGTGTTTATGCTGCGGTTATTATGCAAATATCACATATGATTGTGAGTAACAGTAAAATATCATCCCGACATACCTTTTTTTTACATAATTTTAAGAGGGGTAATATTTCTACCGGTACTCACAAACCTATGTGTTATTTATTTTATTTCATTGTAATGATCTGAAATTTTTAGCTAAATCTGACTGAATCAAACCGAGCCTGCAACATTTTCAATTTTGCTGTTTTGGGCTTTCTTTACGGATTCTTATTTTCTCTATTTTGTAGATTTGTCTAAACACGAATTCGTTTGTTTCCTTTTCTCATACTCGGCTCTGCTTGTTCTATTTTGACTCATGTATATGACCCAAGATCAAGTATTTTTTTTAAAATAATATATGTTCTATAAAAGCTCTGAATAGAATTTCAATTTTCAAACCGGTCAAAACAAAAATCATTTACAACAATTTTAAAATCGACACAAAGCACGAAAATAATATCTGTATTTTGCAAGAAATCATGCGTATGTGTTTTTTTATGAAAAATCAGGCCAAAGACCAACGAAATAAAGTACACTTTAAAGAACGCAGCCCCCATAATATCCAACCGTGATCACAACCAAAGCAACATAAAACGGGAAAATCATCACTCTATTTAAAATAGTAAAAAGAAGATTCAATGCATAATTCTTATGTTTGATAAATATGATGTCCCGAAACTGAAATAGCATGGCCACTGATAATCAAAAATTAGAGTAAATATCTACAAGGAAGACCAGCGGTCAAAAGTCAAACTGTAAGTCAAACGACCATAACCCGCCTTGATAATATCAATTAAATGCAATCGAATAGTTTTTAGGTTCGAACTTTTATTTCTAACAGCAGCTCCAATAAATAAGATTTTACGATATTTAGTATAACCGAGACATTTCAATTTATTCTGAAAAAGTTATATATGTTTCAAAAACTTAATCTTGTTACTTAGTTTTTCCGGTAACTTACGTAATTATTTATGCAAATCTAAGACAAGATTGAACCCATTTATTCAAATAATCTCAATAAAAGTATGTATTTGTTTACATGGTTATTGTGGGTAATGTAGAAATGTATCAACGAAGACATCAAATTGGTCTTTTATGAAAAATACTCGAATTTAAATATTTTTTCTACGATTTCTAAGTTGTTAATATTACTTAGATAATGATACCAAATACTAGTAACCTGTAAGTTCTTTTCGTTTTAACAGGATATTTGAAATTTAATATTTTCACACAGATTAGATAAGTTCTCAAGAAGTGTCCGAAACAATGTTATAAACTTTATAGCATTTATGATTTGGAATATTAAAGTTAACATCCGTAGATATGTTTATAAAGTGAAAATAATGGTAACTGATAAGTTAAATGCCCGTCTATGTAAATGAAATACAGAGACAAACGTACAAAATGTTAGATGATAAAAATGTTTATTTCAATACATTACATGTGTGATGTTTTGAAATGACAGACTATCAATGTATTCTCCTGATGCAAACGATAAAGTAACATTCCCTGAAATAAATCTAGCCAAAAGAAATTAAAAACAACATACTTTGTCAAGAAAAAATGGTACTTTAGTATATTTAGAGTTTTTTTTCAAGAGTCTCTGTATTCTGTACATGTTTCTTCACATTCCAATTTTTAAGAGCAAATGTATTCTGCTAGCACTCCAGTTCTAGGATTGAAGTGCTCGAAATCATAACTGTGACCGCTGTAGCAAGTTGTTTTTGCCAGGTAAACAGCGTTATCGAGGTACCCATTGTTAATATATATTCCATAGGCAGGTCCGTATTTCTTGCCGTTTTCGAGTACTATGTTGAAAGAATCACTACAAGCACGAATTGATGACACGTGCACATTAATCAAACTTTGACTCTGTTCCCTACAATGAAGAAAAATGTAGATATTGATAGGACCTGCAATGTCATTTCCAATACAAATATATCTTTTGACAGGATTTGCAAAGTTCTGTATTTCAATTTTTTAAGAAGAATATTGAATTATTTAGAGCCTAGAAAAAAGAGTGATAAATAAGTGTATGTGTATGTAGTTTATTTGAATTGCATACTATTACATAGTTATTCATTTTAATATCTGGAAGTAACAATGACAAGTTCTGTCGTCAAAGGAGAACAAGAGTTAATTATTAGCATTAAACGGGTTTTAGTAATGTTTTATGTTTTAGATTTTACGTACCTGATTTGACAACGCTTGTATCTTGTTTCGACGGAAATGTTCACAAGTACTTCGAACTCATCGCCGTTGGTAAATGTTCCCGGACAACGGACTTGTAAACATGCGAATCTTGAAGATCCGTTCATTGCAGCAGACGAATCTATCGGACCTGCTGTAAAGTTACCAAATAAAACGGTGGCATCGTTATCAGCTGAACTTACAGCTGTCATAATAGTGTCATATGGAGCGTCCTGAAATATAAGCCAAGTTAAAAATAAAACAAGCTCGTAATTATCCTGAATGTTGTATCTCAGTGTAGAAATGAAATCACTGTATCTTTTTTGAAAGACCATATTATTCAATGCATATGGTTAACTGCGATTTGAAGCACCTTTTACATAATTAATTAATCATTTTTTTGCAAGCTTTAGCTGCTTATATATTCTACTTATATCACAGAAAGTTTCGATATGTTTCTAATAGGGCGTACCATATATTTTAATTAAATTGATAAATATCATAATTTTAATTCCAAAATATCAAAGCTAATGACTTTTAAGATATTTTTGTGTTTGTTTGTGCGTGTTTTTTATCAAAAATAATATTATGCTCATCAATATAATTTCTATAATATATTAGCTTGAATCAAATAATAAAACTAATAAAAAATTAGCAAATGAAACACCCTTTACTCCCTATGAAATGATCTACTTTTCAATTACCTGAATGTGGATTTTGACAAAGCAAACTTCACTGTCACTGTTATATGAAGGGCTATCGTACCATGAAAGTTGTTTGTATAAGTCATCAACCGGTATTGTTGGGTTTAACTTCGGCAAAAGCTTTTCGTTTGAATCGCCGGCTAGATAAATGAAAAAACCTATACATTATGACTGGCAAATTAATGATGTAATGGAACTGATATATCACGTGTTTTTATACTTAGAACAAGCGACACATTGTTAAAATTAAGACTCTTCCATTAGATAATAAAATATGTTTTATAGTTGATAAGTTTTATAGTGAAATTTAATTTAATTTATATACAAATAAAGCAACCTATTTCACATCTGTTTCCGTAAAATCCTGGAGCACATTTACAGGTATCGTCCGCAATGCATGTTCCATTGTTTTCACACTCAGGTCGACATGTCGGTTTTACTGTAAAGGTACAATATTTTAATGTGCACTGCATTGATCATTATTGACTTTAAAAAAATAATGATTCCTAATATCCATTAATAAATTATATTAATATAATATATATATTAAGGAGATTTAAAATGAAGTCATGGAAACATTTAAAGTTACTTTGTTGAGGGAGTGAAAAGTTATACTCGTACCTTTGTGACATTTACCATTTTAGTTTTTGTTTTACGCTTATCATATAAGATAACAATAAAGCAATCGAATTAATAAATACCTTCACAACAATATCCTTTCACACCTGCTGCACATTGACATTTGCCATTCCTGTAAACTCCATGGTTCAAACAAAATTGGCTGCATGCATTTGTTTCATTTTCATCACCATTCTTTCTCTGTATATAACCGGCATTATCATAATAAAAATTTTGTACACAAATTCTGGATCTGGATCTTACTCCACCACCGCAAGTATGGTCGCATGAGCTCCAAGGACCCCATGTGGTCCAGTATGCATGATTATACCCATGATAATTAGACGGTATACCAGTATATGTGTCCACACATTGTTTTGCAGTTATAACAGCTAAAATGTTTGAAAGCCATGTTTTAATCTACAACATTTTTTTTAAATATAAATTATTTATTGCATGTTCCATTTTAATTTCATTGTGTTTGTAAGTACTATTCCCAAATTATGTCTTTATGCAAATAAAAACAGTCGCTGTTTTTTGGAACATAGACAGTTTCTGTATCTTATTGAATAATAACGATAGAAAAAGTAAGTTCTGAATTTGTATGAAAGAAACTATTTAGTATTTATTATGCACATTTATCAATATGCAAAATTCAAGAACGCCTAAAATGACTCAAGAGCCATGAGAACAAAAAAAGCAACACTATTCTTCATGAGAGACTTTTGCAAGTTTAAAAGAAAAATATCAATACAAATTATAGCATTTCTTTTGTTATAATTATTTTAGTTGTTTAACCTAGTATATCATATGCAATCTTTACATTTAATTTATATAGAAATTATCAAAATACTTACTTGTAAATATACCAATATAAAATAAATAAACTAAAATGCAATTCATGTCTTGTAGTTTAACGTAATACAAGGACTATGAATAAATTACACATTGAAATACCTTTACCAACTGTTTTATGAAAGTTTTCGGATCTAAGTAGCGGAGAAGATTTTTTTTTCTTATCAGTAAATGGTCTGGGTATTTCTTTATCATTGTTGCATACATTTGTTTCACACAGGGACAGTTTGTTATTTTTTAAAACGTTTTAAAAATCATGATCAATCTTAAAGTGGAGTTTTGCACAAACATGAACAGTATAATAATATTAGAAACTTCTGTGTGACTTCGTTACGTTCACATCTTAATTACAATACGAATTCGCTTTAAAGGTCCCATTGATTGGTAATTTACCACAGCGATATTTCCATTTATATTCGTAAGAAAAAACCACCAAACCTTATTCAGCGGAAATTACCGACTGCTGTCGTGTTTATTGGAGCATTAATCACCGCTAATCATTGGCCAGTATTTCACGCGTTTTACGATTCAACGCACCTCGGCGATTTAAGGAAAAAGTCGTACATAAACTTGTACATAAAAAGACATCTATTTTTAATACCTATCATGTCAACAACGCAGCATTCTGCATTATATGTGATATCAAATTTGGGAATATCCATTTATAAATGTGTTCATACACTGGTTATATTACAATAATTTATATATTTAAATGAACATTTTTTTTCTATTATCAAAGTGGAATACAAACTTAAGATATCAAAACACAAACCATTGCTGTTTCAATCAATATATCGTATACTTTCATTTTATATACGTTTTAATTGCTAATCGTTATTATGTATCATTATAATATCATGGCATGCAATCAATATGGTTGATATCTTTGCCCTGTATATATATGAGATAAGCATGCACATACTATTATGTGGAGTGAACGTGCTGTAAAGCTTTTCCGCACGATCGAATAACATTGGTCAGCTTCATAATGTTTTCTCTAATTTAACAGTCGGAACATATTTAAGAGTGTTATTCTTAAAATAAAAGTTCACCTAAAATGTTTTTTTTCCAGACTTCACAACAGCAGGTGTTACTTCACTAATATAAATGACTACCAGAACAGTTGTGAACTACTTTTATAAAATTTATTCCGCCTTTCTTACTCAAAGTTGTAGATGATGCTTTGCCATAACCATAATTCATGTCAAGGGCCGTGTGGCAGCTGTTGTTTACCCCTTACTTCATTTCAGTATTTTCTATATTTTCCTGGTCTTTAGGGATCATTGATTCTAGCGCTTTAAGTGTTGAAAATTTAATGGTGCTGATGCGGGTTCAATGTTGAACGTTTTTATCATCCCTTATGCACATACTCCATCAAAACGATAACCGCCTCCGTGGTCAAGGGGCAAGAGTCGATGACTTCTAGTCCAGTTACCTCTCTGGCATGGGTTCGATCCCCGGGAGATGCTTTGGTAGTTTAACACGGAGGAAGGTAATCTAGTACTTGTGTAACTCTTCAGGAACGATGGTTAGGAAACTACCCGCCTATATGACTTAAATACTGTTGGGAAAAGGCATAAAATGAAACAAACAAATAAACAAAACAATCAAACCGAGCCTTTAATTTTCATGTAATTTTGTTGTAATTAATGCTTCCGTGGGATCACTTTTTCCAGATTTTCATTAAAAAGATACTAATACAGAATAGCGGCAGTATGACATGCATTGACAAGATGAAACCAGTTGCTATAAGGATATGTACCTCGATCTAGTTAGTACTAGCTTTCATTGACAACAGTACAATTTGATCAATATAATAAAAGATAACTAAGCGTAACGTTATGTTTTGGTGACCTTCACAGAAATCTAGCCTTGAGTATCAGGTCTGTCCATCATTAAAAGTAAAAAATATTTCAGACGAACAAATTGATCTATTTTTGTAATATCACAAACAGACGATACAATGTTAGTTTGAAATTTGAAATTTAATTGGGTGATGATTTACATAATAATTTCATAGTTTATCACAGTTGATATACATGTATAGTGTGTTGATATAATTGCCAATACATGTAAACATTTTAATGATAAGAATGACAATTCAAAAGTTGTTGTTGTGATTGTCATAGAATGAATTTAATTGCCCGAATTTGAATTAGTAATCCCATTTTATACCTTTAAAAGATCTTTCTAGCCACTTTTTCACGCTGTGACATGTGCTTAAACTTTTCAGCACAGTCAAGCTATTTACAAAACTTTTTAAAGTCAAAATTATGACAAGAATGTCAAAAATAGTGTAATATATCGTTAATTCATCATACTTATAGATTTAAAATAAATAAGAGTCGTTATTTTTTAGTTGGAATCATAGCCCTTAAATGTCCACCATTATCCTTCTGTACAAATATATATATATATACCATTGCGATAATCAATAACAAAAATGAACGTGAATACAAATATTCAACTCGTATCATTACGGTTTGTCTCTGTATGACATAAAGTTGCCCATTTCGCAACATGTATGCATTCATTGTCCATGTTGACTGCACTTGCTTGTACCTTAGATCATGAAGTGTTTCTATTTTAGGATTAGGGTTATCAAGTGTTGCTATGTCAAATTGTCGTTTCATGATAATAAATTGTTAGTATTATCTTGTCTGATGTTAGTCTAATGACAGTTCATATCTTTACATGAGGTTTCCTTGAAGTGTTTATATCATTCTTTTTAGCTCTAATATTAAATGTTCAAAACATTTTAACATTAAACTTTAAACCTTATATATCTGTGAAGTGAAGAATAAATTAACAAAACGTAAAAGTATGAGTCAATTTCTAAAATTCTACGACGATGTCAACTGCTTTCTTTTGTGGCATCACTTCTAATAACAAGTAAAAAATTGCTGGGAAATGCAGCAATATGATTGTCACGGCGAAAAAAAAAAACCCAACCCCCCACCCCCCCCCCAAAAAAAAAAAACAAAAAAAAACCCATTTAAAATTTAAAATTTGGATAAGGTATCTCCAAATACATTTTTTTTTGTTTGGGCCCAATTTTTAACTTTTTCCGGGAAGGGGTTTTAAAATATCAAAATCTTAACTTTTTTAAAGAGCCAGGGTTTTTTTTATGTAGAAGGGGGCAGAAAAAATTTATCATTTTTTGGTGTTAACGGGGCATACCTCTCGAGTGAGTTTTTACCCCACCTAGGGAAAAGGTTTCCCATTTTTTTGATTTTTCAAAGGCCTTTGTAGTTATCCCTTCTGGAAAAAATTTTTAAAAGGTTGAAAAAAAACAAAGGGCAAAAACTGAAAAAAAATTTGCACGGTGGGTTTAAAATTTTCTTTGGGGGCGGGGCACCCCTCCTCAATGAAAATCTATACACCAAAATAAGTTTAAAGGGTTGATACCTCTAACACCTTTTTGAGATTATTAATTATTATATACACATTTTCTATAGCACTCTTTTCATAAATAATTAAAAATGTTCAAGAGTGCCTTTATTTACAATAAAATCCGATTAAAACAATAATCGATATATATTTTAATATCACCCTCCGGATGCCGGGGGATTTTGCAGACTCCGTAAATATGGTATTGGGGGGCACGGCCGTTGATATATTTTGACGTGACGTCATTTAGCGTTAATCAAACATATGTGTAAAGACGCGCTAAATGTTGGCGTTATACTAAAATATGGCGGCGTCAATGAAAAATGACTCTTATTTACTTTATATGTGATAAATAGAATATTAAAATTCGTGTAAGTTCATTTCTGAATTTATTGCACTCGTTATAAATATAATATTATGCTCGCCAGAGGCTCGCATAATATAATTTTATTCAACTCGTGCAATAAATTCAGTATTGAACTTACACTCATTCAATATCCTCTATAAGACATAATGAACAACATTAATTTAGTAAACCTATTAAACAATAATGATAATCTAAAACCAGTAAAGGATGGTAAGAAATACAGACAACATTTAGTTTAAAATCAAGGCACAATTAATAATAATTGAGATAAGCTCCGGACAAAAAAGTATGAAAAATAACAAATGGGCAATAAACTAACAAAATATAAAGGGTATTTATTCTTGCGCACAAACATTCCTCCCCAATAAGATCTATCCACCTATAAAGTTTTCATGTTTGATATTTCAAAGACTTTTTCAGAGATATGCTCCACTCAGGTGAAACATTTAGTATGGAAAATAACAAAGGGCAATAACTCAAAAATTATGAAGGGTAGAGTTATCACTCTTTTGCACTGCATACCTCCTGAGAAAGATCTATCCACCTATGAAAGTTTCATGTTGAAATCTCAAATGCTTTTTTGTTAGTTATACCCTGGACAAAAATAAAGTATGAAAAATAACAAAGTGCAATAATAACTGAAAAAAACAATGCACGGTATGTTATCATTCTAGTGTGCTGCAATGCTCCCCAATAAGATCTATCCACCTATGAAGTTTCAAGTTGTTACCTCTAACATTTTTTAGATAAGCTCCGGACAAAAAGTTTGAAAAATAACAAATGGCAATAACTCAAACATTATAAAGGATAGAGTTATCATTCTTGCGCACAACATTCCTCCTCAAAAAAGATCTATCCACCTATGAAGTTTCATGTTGACATTTCAAAGACTTTTTCAGAGATATGCTCCACTTAGGTGAAAAAATTAGTATGAAAAATAACAAAGGGCAATAACTAAAAATTATGAAGGGTAGAGTTATCACTCATTTTTTGCACTGGGCATATCTCCTGAGTGAGATCTGTCCACCTTTGAAGGTTCATGTAGATATCTCAAAGGCTTTTGTAGTTATATCCTGGACAAAATTAAGTATGAAAAATAACAAAGGGCAATAACTGAAAAATAATGCACGGTTAGTTATCATTCTAGTGTGGCTGCACTTCTCATCAAAAAGAGCTATCCACCTATGAAGTTTCAAGTTGTTACCTCTCCCACTTTTTTAGATATTCTCCGGGACAAAAAGTAAGAAAATAACAAAATGTCAATAACTCAAAAAATTATAAAGGTTATGAGTTATCATTCTTTCGCACAACATTCATCCTCAAAAAAGATCTATCTACCTATGAAAATTACATTGACATCTCAAAGTTTTTTTAGTTAATTTATGCTTGCTCCACTCAGGTGAAAAATTAAGTATGAAAAATAACAAAGAGCAATAACTCAAAACTTAGAAATGGTACAGTTATCACTCTTGCATTGCACACCTCCTGAGTGAGATCTATCCACATGAAGTTTCATGTTGATATCTCAAAGGCTTTTT